CTCGGAGTCGGGGTTGCCCACCTGACCCGACCCCTTCTCTCCCCGGAGTCTTTCCACTCTCTCTGCCGCTTGAATCTTCTTCATCCCCTCCTACTGGCACCCACAAGGCACACGTGTGCCTCCCGCTGGCTAGTCCTCTCTCCTAAACCCCTGAGTTGAATAGACACCCGCCTACTTGAAATCCAGTTCCATTTGGATGTGGGCTCGGCAGCTGACACAGAAAATGCCCAGCCACCACATTTCTGACCTCATCCCCACCCCAAACCCGCTCCTCTCCGTCCTCCCGGTTTTAACTGCATCCACTTGCTCCGTCAGGAACCCGGAGTTGCTCCTGACTTTCCCTCTCACACCCTCATCCAGTCCTGCCCCCCGAATCCTGATGGCCCTGCCCTTAAAAATGATCCACGATCCCGCCACTTCCAACCCCCAGCGCCTCCTCCGGGGCCAGCCAGCCCCAGTCTGTCCCCCACGCGGCCGCTCGACACCTGAGTTGGCCCAGGTCCCTCCCGTGGCTCAGAGTAAAAGCCAAGTCCTCAGCTTGGCCAGGACGCCCTGCACGGCCTGCCCCTTTTGTCCCCTCTCTGCCCTCACCTCCCGCCTACCTCCCTGGCTCACTCCGCTCCAGCCACACTGGCCTCCGCGCTGTTCCCTTAACCGGCCGGGCTCGGTCCTGCCTCAGGACCTTTGCACAGGCGGTTCCCTCTGCCTGAAGTCTTCCTCCAGCCACCCCCGTGGCTTGGCCCCCTCCTCTCTCTCAGGGAAGTCTGTTTGCAATCCTGGGCCTATTTGCAGCCATGTCCAGACTTGCAGACCTCCCCATGGTCCCCTGTCTGGGCCCCCATACGGCTCCGCAGACCTTTTATCCCGTCGGACAAACTGCCATCTATTCTGTCTGCCTGCCCAGTAGAAGGTGAGCTGGAGGGCAGAGATTTGGGGCTGATTTTGTCACTGCTGCTTCCCTAGCACCCCGAGTGACACGAAGTAGCATGGAGACTTGTTGAGTATTTGAAGAAATGAATTGCTCTGCCTCCAGCCTGATTCAAGGTCCCAGGCAGAGGAGAAAACAACCCAGAGAGGGTGGGTAAGCTGGCCTAGATCACACGGCGGGATCTGTATTCTTAATCACAACCATTAGGGAGCCACAGAGGCCCCCTCTGGCCTAGCAAGCCTACCTCTAGGACTTGGTCTTACACCCTCATACCCGGGCACATGGATGTCCCCTGTCTGCCACGCTGGCTGTAACCCCAAGACACCAGACACCACCTCAGAGGGGGACGATCTATGATTATATTCTCAAGGTGGAAGAACAGCCGCTGGCATTGACAGAGCTTACTCTGTGCCAGGCACCGATGTCCTAAGCACTTTTACTCAGTTTACCCCCCAGCAGCCCTGGATGGGGGCTCTCCCCTCATCCCCATGTTCCAGATGAGGAAACCGAGGCACAGACAGGTAGGGAACTTGGGCCAAAACTAGTGAAAAGAGGGGAAGCCAGGATTTGAACCCAGGTCATCCGAGGGAGGCCTTTTGCTCAAGGATGTTCCCTATTACAAGGATGTTCCCTAGAACAGCAAGAATGCCCCCCCCCCAAAACATAAAGAGTGGTGCCCGAGGGGCCAGGGTCTGTTCAGTCGTGTATGTCCACAAGGGGACCTGGTAGCTGCACTCACGTGGATATGCAATGGGTATTGACATCCTGCTGAGGGAGTGAGCGGAGGGAACAGTGGCCTCTAGCATGTGCCTGCAACTGTTAAAAGGCCAACACACACTAGATGTCCATCAGAAGTGGTGCAGAGAGCCCTGACCGGTTTGGCTCAGTGGATAGAGCGTCGGCCTGTGGACTCAAGGGTCCCGGGTTCGATTCCAGTCAAGGGCATGTACCTTGGTTGCGGGGCACATCCCCAGTGGGGGGTGTGCAGGAGGCAGCTGATTGATGTTTCTAACTCTCTATCCCTCTCCCTTCCTGTCTGTAAAAAATCAATAAATTAAAAAAAAAAAAAAAGAATTGGTCCAGAGTAACTCCGGCTGTAAGCTGGTCAGCAGGGAGGGGCCAGGGTGAGTCTTGAGGCTGAGTTTGCAGAGCAAGCTCAATGCTTTTATGTGGATGGTATGTTTATTAGGGGGCAGGGGGGTGAGGGGAGGGTGCTAAAGGAGATTATGGGGGTCAAAGCCTTCCCGCAGTGCCACCCTGAGCATCCTTCCCACTGCAGGTCACGGCTCAGTGAGCAGGGAGATCAATTGGTGGAATACAATTAGCACCGAAAAGAAAAGGAATGTTGTAGAAAAGGCCAGGCCACCATAAGACGCCTGGATACCGCTTTGTGGAACGTTTTAAACTCAGAGACAGGGATAAATAAAGGCTGTGAGACACCTTTAGTTCAGGTCAGGATCAGATTCTGCCGCCAAGTGAATTACAAAAAAGTTAGAGCCGCCCGGCCCGCGTGGCTCAGTGGTTGAGCATCGACCCATGAACTGGGAGGTCAGGGTTTAATTCCTGGTCAGGGAACATGCCCAGGTCTTGGGCTTGATCCCCAGGAGGGAGTTGGTCGATGTTTCTCTCACCATTGATGTTTCTATCTCTCCCTCTCCCTTCCTCTCTCTCTAAAATAAATAAAACATTTTTTTTAAGTCAAAGCCACCGGCAGAACGCTTCTCTAAATACACTATACCCATGCGCATGTTTGGGTATTTGCGGCTGGAGTTGGACGCAGGAGCCTAGGATGGGGGAAACGTGTATCTTGTGTTGTGTGTTTTTATACTTTGGAGTTGAACCTGCATTACGTTTCCCATGAAAAACCAGAGACCTGAAGGGGCAGAGCGCAGTGGGACACAGGTCGGCCACCGTGAGGAGCCTGAGGTTCCGATCCCACCCCTGACCCACTGTGAGACCCTGGGCCGGCGGCTCCCCTCTCTGGGCCCCGTTTCTCTCTCTGGAGGATGTGGCTAAAGGGCCCCACCGTATACCAGTATGACGTCAGAGATGAGACGAGATGAGTGGCCCAGGGGGTGCTTGGCATGCAGTGGGCGCTAGCGGCAGGTCATTCTCTTGACCCCTGCCAGGCTGTGGCTGAGGACTGCTCCCCCTGGTGGCTAACTATCCCTGATTTCTGGCCCCTGTGGACGGCCCTGTCCTGGTTCTTCTGGGGGCGGCAGCCCAGAGAGGGCTGGTAGCCCTCGGGTCATCTGGGCGCGAGGAGGAGCTGCAGGGAGCCCAGGGTGCCCTGAGCTGGGGAAGGAGGTCCGGGCTGGGCTGGGGGTGGGGCAGTCACCCAAAGAGTTGCAGGCGTCCGGTCTCCTTGGCGGGGCCCGCCAGCAGCAGCAGGTCTGGGAGTTGCAGGGCTGGACTGGAGGCTGCCACCCCCATGGTTACCTTGTTGGCAACTTCTCCTAACCGGGTCACCTGGGGCGAGGGACAAGGGTTAGAAGCTGGATAGATGGTGGGGTGTGTGTGTGTGTGTGTGTGTGCGTGTGCGTGCAGAAATGGGGAGGGATCAGAGGTCAAGAAGGAGCAAGGTTCATGAACCCAGTGAATGAAACACCAAGACGGAAGTCAGATGTCCTGAGGTCAAAGGTCATACAGGTGTTAAGTCAGGGAAACCGAAGCAAGGGAGTCAGAGGCCAGGTTTCATAGAGAAGGTGAAGGTCTGCAGGTTTGGGGAAAGGGGTGGGTCAGGAATTCCAGGAGGTGGACGTTATGGGGGAGTTGTCAGAAGCGGGGAGAGCCGGGGTTCCCCAAGTCAGGAGGGGGGGAGCTCAGGAGGTCCTGGGGCTTCACACCTGCACGAAATTGCTCTCAAAGATGGTGAAGTCCCGCAGCTGGTCGAACTCCCCGCTCTGAAGGAGGCGTTGGAGCCGTCCAGGCCGGCCCGTGGGACAGGCTGAAACGAGGGTGTGTTCTAGGGAGTCCGGTTGGGGGGGGCCTATTCCAGGAGGCTGAGCGTTGGGGGTACCGGGCTGTCGGTCTCCAATCGCCGGCCCCATCCCTCACCTGGCCCCGCCCCTGAGGCGTGGCTCCGCCCCTCACCTGCCATCCAACCCACCTGGTCCCACTACACCTGCTCCGTCGAGGGCCGTCCTGAGCTCTAGTCTCTGCTTCATCGAAGCGAAGAACCGGGGAAGAAAACGGAGGGCGTGGCCACGGACAGTGAGACGTCACAACGCAGCGGACCGGAAGACGCCGGTGATTGTGCCGTCACCCTAGGGGCGGGGCCATCCCAGTGGCGTCAGGCCCCGGTAGGGGGGCGGGCGCTAGTGCGC